GCATCTTTCTTCAACTAATATCCAATCGTGCAATTGATTAATTAAGAAAGTCTTTTGACAAATGAGAAATGCCTTCACATTTTCACAAGGGTATTTGTAAATCCATGCGCATAATTATGACTAATTAATTTAGTAGTCTTTCCTAACTCCAAAACTAGTATTTTGAAATAGTATAGGCAGTGGCGGAGCCAGGAGTTCGTGTCAGTGGTGTCAATTTAGCAAAACAATATTATATAATAATGTGTACATATATAAAGCAAAAAAGCAAATTTTGTCATTGGTAAATTAAAGTACTAATTCACAACTGTCCACGACGCGTTTTCATATTTTGAAAACGTTGTACAATTTTTTCTTTGTCAACACTTTTGAATATATCTTTTTCAATAAAAGTAACTAAGGCATCATTCATCATAGCATCCCTCATTCGATTGCGCAACCTGTTCTTCACGAACTTTATGGCTGAGAAAGCTCTTTCTACAGTTGCGGTGGCCACCGCTAAAAGCAAAGCTAATTTCACAAGTAAAAAAACTAATGGATACACAATATGTTTCTTTGTCTCCACCAATTTTTGAGCAAGAGAACCACCTTCTGTAATATCTATAAATGCAGAGTTGGAGCGCACATCAAGAATAAAAATTTCAAGTTGACTGTCAAGAGCAAGAACATCTACCATTGAAAAGTCAAAAGGATATAATCGAGCCATGCGAATCAACTTGTCCTTGTCAAAAGATGAAAAAGTGTCTTTAGGACTAAGGCAAGCCACACAAAGAAGCAATTATGTAGAAATCTCTGTGAATCGATTGTTCAACTCCTCGCGTTGTCTATCCACCACAACATAGAACAAGTCCCCTTTGTAACGATGTAAGTTTGTGATTTGGATAACTTTGCGACGGACTCTCCCATGAGGTACATAAAAATCATTCATACTTGGAATTGAAATTTTATTCTTTTCACAATAAGAAAAAACTTCACCAAAGAGAATATCCCATTGGGCACAGACTGCGACCGAAGGTTTCCGATTTTAGCGATTTGGGAATTGGGACTGCGACTTACGGCGTTCAATAGTTTTTTTTTGCAGCGGGAGTTAGGGTTCAATCAACGATTTGGGCACAAACTTTTCAATTCTCCTTTGCTGACTTTTCAATTTGGTGTTCCAACTTTTAAAAATATTAAATTGAGCCCCATTTTTTTAAATGTTGGATGGTGTCAATTTATAATTTATGAAAGATTATCTATACCTATATAGAGAATTTTTATTTTTCAGTGGTGTCAATTTTAAATTTTAAATTTGTTTTTATATACTTACATATGGGGAAAAAAATTCCAGTGGTGTCAATTGACACCACTGGCCAAAGGTTGGCTCCGCCACTGAGTATAGGTTCTTAGGGTGGATCGAAGTACAGAGTAATTTAATTTTTATGTAACTTTAATACATATCATATGTTTAAGAAGAGAGTCAGAGCAGCGGAATCGGGAATCTATGTATAGGTTATGGTGGATTGAACTTAGGGGTAATTTAATTTTTTTCAATTTGTTTAGTGTAATTTTTTTGATTTTTCACATTTAGCCCATCCAACTAATCTTTAAGGTTAGTAGAATTACTATTCAACCTAGGGTATCCAAATTTTCTGGATCCGCCCCCGAAGCCGATTCTAGGGAAACTTTAGGTGGTGATCTCTTGAGCAATTTCTTGACATCTCCGATCCTAAGCAACTCTCTGAGCATTGAAGTGATGAATCGTTGATTTTTCCTATGCTTCCGTTTTTTATTTGATTTCATTTACCTTCAAGATTTTTGATTTAAGTGAGTGTGAAATAGGTTTTTCTCTTAGCGACATCTAAAGATTGTGTATTCTTCGTCGATGTAACTGATCAGGTAATAAATTCTCATTGTCATAGTTATCATCTCTTTTCCTTTAATTTCTTTTTGATTCTTCCATCTTCAATATGGAATTAAATTTTTCCAATTTTTTTGTAAGTTTTATTTGCCAAAAAAAATCTTATTAGTGACAAGTATCATTTAACTTTATGGTCAATCAAATATCTTAAATCACATGACAACATTTAAGTGAGATGGAGGGAGTATGTTTATACACACACACACACACACACACACACATACATATATTCATATGTCTATTCTTGTTATTTGCATAATTCATTTTTTCTTAACATTTAAATTTGGGAAAATCGCATATATGGCCCCTCGGTTATCCACGAAATTAAAATCTCAAACCTGTATTTCTGAGATTGTAAATGTCTCCCCTCAATTGTCCAAAATGATGTAAATGTGATTCTTTTGAGGGGTGAAATATACAATGTGGGCGATAATACATTTCACTACTTAAAGTCTTAAAGGACCACATTTACAACATTTTGGACAATTGAAGAGTGACATTTACAATCTAAAAAATAAAAGCCTGAGAATTTAATTTCGTGGATAATTGAGGGACCATATATGCGATTTTACCTTTAAATTTCAAAAGTATTTATGTCAAAGGATTTATAGCTTATTTAAGTTTTTGATGAGTGAATTCCAAATTAGTTTTGATTTTATTTATTATTAATACATTTCATTTTTTCTTTAATACTCCGTATAAATTACTTTATTTGTAGGTTGACAGGTTGTAATTTATTGTGTTAAGAAACAATATTTAAAGAACGTTGGAGTAATACACCAAATCTGCAATAAAATACATAGTATAAGATATCATTCAACGGTTCAACCAAACAAATTAATGTCGCAATCCTTTAATCTTAATCATATACAAATGAAAATAAATTGAATACATTTTTATCAATATAATATACTCAACAATCAAACATTCCCTAGTAATCTCACATTCCTTGAAATCCATAATTGTTTAATGTTTGAGGTATCGGTAGAACCGTACAAGCAATTGGAGTAGTTCTTTTAGGATTAATTAGGAGTACGTGACCCCTTTTATAGTTGTATGTCAACTAAGGGTTGGTTTGCAAATGCGGTAAAAAAGCACATATCAACTTTTAGTTTTAAAGAACACTTATTTTATCAAATACTATCAACTTTTATTTTTCTCGGCTTTCGTGTCAAAAGTGTTTTTACTTTTTCTATTACACAAAAAACACTTATTTTACCAAACACTACCAACTTTTACTTTTCAAAATCACGTTTTTCTCAAACACTATCAACTTTTATTTAATCATTTCTCCTCATTTCATCAAAAAACACTTTTTTAAGGCAGAAGCTGTTGCAAACAGACCCTAAATGAAAGATCAATGGCTAGAATCACCAAATCTCAATAGGTCAACAAGTCTGCTGCTATCCGCTATAATTACATACCTAGGGACGTAGCTCACCTGATAGGAAGAGAGTGTCACAAGTGAGATGTCCCGGGTTCAACTCCAAGCAATGACTTGGGATTAAGGATGGCAATGGGGGCGGGGACCCATGGGGAACTGCCCCGCGGGGGGGGGGGGGATGGGGCGGGGCTTGGGGCGGGGTGGGGATGGGTGATATATTTTTACGCCGTTATAATATGGGGCAGGGCAGGGGTGGAGACAGGGGGAGGCTGGCGGTGGCCACGGCTCCTGCAAGAAAAAAATTGTGATGTATATATACATGTATAAATATTTATAAGTAGTGAAAAATATAGTGAAAATTTAAGTTTTGGCCCCTGCTATATAAATTCTTTAAGCCCCGGCCCCTGTAACCTATCAATACTGGCTCCGCCACTGGGGCGGGGGACAGGTATTGCTACACCCGCCCCATCCCCGTTATAAATATATACTCACATATATAAATAATGTAAACACATACGAAGTACATAATACGTGGATGGGTGAGATATTTTTACGCCGTTAAAATATGGGGCGGGGGATGGGTATTGCTACACCCGCCCCGTCCCCGTTATAAATATATACTCACATATATAAATAATGTAAACACATATTAACAAACGTATAAATATACACATATATAAATAATGTACACACATATTAAATTAAATTATATGTAGTGTATAACAAACACATATACATATAGACATACATAATTGTATACGGTTTAATTATGGTTAATGAATTAATACTAGAATAATGAACTATTAATGGTTAAAAATATTTATTACATGAGTTTTAAGAGTGAGAAAGTGAGTCAACAAATACACACACATTTATATGTAATATAATATGCAATTAATTGTATAATAGTTGTTGAAAGTTTTGAAACAACGTACATGATGATACTATATTTATACTTTAATTATCTTCAATTCACAAAACTTATTCAAAAGGAAGAATTATTAAAATTGGCGATATTAACTTTTAACAAACACAATACTTCAATGTTGCGTGTGTGTATCATATATTACTGTGCGCACATAAATGTATATAGGTTTAGGATCAAATGAGAACAACGCTTAACGTGAGAACGTGCAAGCACCACATTTACCCCCAAAGTGAAGCACAATGGGCTCGCACAATGCACTTTTTCGTATCTAGCATAATATTTACAAAAGTGTCATCGTTATTATTTATATTAGCTTGTATTGAGCGAAGTCCAAATGTGCACTAGAATGGCTCTATTGTGTATCACATTGGATTAAATGTGCGTGTTTCGACGTTAAGCATGGTTCTCATTGGAACCACACTACATATATTTGTAATAAGAGATTAAAAGTATATGCAAATACGATAAATTGAATCTATATAGGGGCATCCATGGGCACCTGTGGGCACCCGTGGGGCACAACGGGGTGGGGCGGGGATGGGGCGGGTTTGGGAGTAACGGGGATGGGGGGAACTTTTTAGACATGGGGTGGCCGGGGATGGGGGAGTGTACCCCCGCCCCATTGCTATCCCTACTTGGGATGGAGCCTCACTTTCTTTCCATTAGAGTGAGATCAAAACTCAATTTACATTCTCTCAACTAGCTGTCCGATAGATGCGGGGTCCTGAGGGATTGAGTGTCATCCTTTTTTTTTTCGCTATAAATACGTCCATCTACACATCATATTTTAAAAAAGAGCTAATCTTCTAGCTAAAAGTATAGTAGACACCCACATATCACACATATTTGTGCACTTCATTTTCAATCCACAGCACCTGCTAGCTTACCCTCGGCTCCCAATCAGATCGATGGCTGGGATTAACATGCTACCATTGGCCACGTCATGTATTCTCCTTTTGGCATTTCTTATCTCCGATGTATCCGAGGGAAGGGCGACTCCTTCGTTGACCAGATTATCAGCTGACGACCGGCGGCTGTCATCATCATCCTCAAACTATGCCGTCTTCAACAGTAACCCGAGTCCCGGCGCCGGTCATCATGATACTCCCGGAGGTAGCACACCCCCAGCAGCTGCCTCCGCCGATGGCCTGCCGTCGTCGTCCTCTATGTATACCGTCTTCAACAGTAACCCAAGTCCCGGCGCCGGTCATCATGACACTCCCGGAGATAGCACACCCCCAGCTGCCTCAGTTCCCGCCATTAATTAAAATGATGAAAAGCCTTAATGCCTTATACACATATATTGACCCATCTTCAACCTTGAATCATTCGATTTACAACCACATACACATATATTTCGAAGTTACATTTTATGTATTTAAACAATGATCAAAAGTATTGATATCAAAGAATAAGAATTAATGAAATACTACGTATTTCTACCTATGTTTGGTGCTTCTACCACGTGTGAATTATACGGTTCATACTTCATGCCAAGGTTTTAAATAGTCGTAGCGGTAGCGGTAGCAGTCATCGCGGTAGCGGCCCGTAGCCGACTGTAGCGGTTGTAGTGGCGTGAAATATTTTCAATTGTGCAAAACATAAATGTATTTTTTCACATCATTCACACAACATTTAATTTTGAGTTTCACTCCATGCATCACCATTATGTATTTTTTTCACATCATTCACACAACATTTACATATTTACACATCAAACAGTTCGTGATGTACTGCCGGAAATGTCAATAGCGGGTTGTAGCGGGCTGTAGCGGGCGGTGTAGCGGTTTTTTTCCCGTGATTTGGAAATCACACACGAATAGCGGGCCGTAGCGGTAGCGGCTCCTACCGCGACCGCTATATAGCGGCCGCTATAGCGGTAGCGGGCCGCTATTACAAACCATGTTCATGGGCATACCAACAATTGTGGTCAACTTACACACAAATGCCCATTTCTATATTACCGGTGTGTGCCGATGAGATAGAGCAACAATATCTTTATCACTCAATCCCATTTGCTCTCAAATATTCTTATCAGGCAAGAGACCTAGCTTCAAGAGGAATGTCCAGCTTATCTTGAAAAACATAAGAGCTCAACATTATCAAGAAACAAAGACTTCATCAATATACATTAAAGAAAGATCACCATGCATACCTGTGGACCACCAGTAATCTCAACACCCACAAATATTCCAGATAGCTTCATGGGTATAAAAATGTATAGAATTGAAGTGCCAGACAAAGATTAGATGAGGGGAAAAGGGAAACACAAATACACAATTAAGAGGCTGTTTGGAATCATTGTTTTTCAGCTTATGAGCCAACTTTTTCACCAAACACGTAATTTTTACTTTCACGCGCTGAATTGTGTAATAAACAAAAAAAGTAAGGTTGAGGGCCTGTTTGGTAACGGCTGCAATAGCTGTCATGACTGAAATTGCTGAAGTGAAAGTGTTTGGTAATATTTGGACTGGAGTGGCTGATTGAATGTATAATTACCAATAAGGGTATTTCTTTAATTTCTTTATATTCTGACTATATTTATGTAGATTTGCTAGTAAAATCCTTTTGACTAATATGAGAAATTAATTTTAAAAACTAAACTTTTTATTAATTATAGTAACAAGCTAGCTAACATGCATATAAATAAAAATGGAACATGAACTAAACATTAGTGTCAATTGGAATTCTACAAAAATGAAGGAAATATACATACAGTAAACATATTACTTGTTGGAAATTTTTGAATATTTCAAATGAATAAGTTTTTTAATTATTATTTTATGAAAATTTTATGACTCAAAAGACTATTTTAAACTATAATTTTAACCTGTTACAAAATGGCTCTTCACCTACAAATTATTATTGCTTTTAATGTTATACATTGTTTTTAATGATGAAAAACGTACTGTTAATAATGGCCATTAATTTGGTGAAAGCCAATTTTATCAACTTGTTTATAAATTGAACTCTCCTGCGGTCAAGCTAAAAGAGATAGTTTTCACTGGTTCGGTCAGGGAGTATACTAGCCATATACGAAGTGTATATTTACATGAGACATATTACAAATTATATTTTGTTCATATGATTATTGGGTTCATATATTAATCTTCTTCTCGTTAGTTCTGTTACCGGTTTTGTACCGAAGGGCTCGTTATATCTTGGGAGAAATTTCCGTACGCCGGGAATAATTCCTTAGGACAGCGTCTGATGCGTCTCGAGCCACTAATATACTTTTAGTTCTTTTTAGTGATTATTTTGCAGGTCAATTCTCGAAGCTAGATAGTCAACGAGATTAATTTAGGAGCAACACGGTCAACACGTTGATTTTAGAAGGATAGAGCCAACAATCTAAGGAATTATCGGCAAATAAAAATTACACCTACGGAACAGTCAACGTGGTGGATACACCTCCTGTGACTAGTGACGCCAAAAGTATGGCTACATTTCTAGCTCCCAACAATGGTTAAATTTACGGTATGTTTTTTTCATAGCTTTTGTTCAAAAAAATCATTTTTTAGATAATGTATGTTTTTGGGGAAATCCACCAAAATAAAATTGAAACTTTGTTGGCGGTGATGATATAATTGGTGCGGTTATTTTTTCAAATTGACGAGTGATGTGGGAATGAATAGACGGTAGATTTTGAGGCTACCAAATTCATTTGTGAATACAAAATTGTTTTCCTCCTATTGTCTAATAGTAGCTGGAAAAATAGAGAATTTGTTGAAACTCACATCAGAAAAAATTGTTATCTTTAAATGATGTATTTAATTTAAAGAGTTTGAATTTTGAATAAGTTGTGGTTAGAGTTATTTTTATATGTGATAAAATTATTATGATTATTGAAAACAAAAATATTAATAATAAATTTGTGAAATGTATGGTGAACTATATAAATTTTATTAATATTAATTTTACCATGACATGAGGTTGTAAAAGACTATTGTCAAAATGGATGTCATGCATTGTATATGTTTAGTTTTCTAAATTAATGGCTTGTTTTAAAAAAAAAATTAAATTGCCCGTATCTGTTGGTTGTATTTGTAATTTTCTATTGTTTATTATTATTACAGTGTCATATTAAATTTTTTAAAAATTCTTTGAATCCTTGCTATTAATTTTAATTTAATTGTGATTGTTGAAAATTGAGAATTGCATCGGTTATCGTTAATTAATTTGTATGTCATTACATAAATCATTTTTGGTGTATACATGGTTGAGTGGTGCGCTCAGACCTCTTTGATTACATTTTGTCATTGGAGAGTATTCTTTATCTTTATATTTAAAAATTAATTGAAGTATGTATTTTTGCATGCAATTGTGAATATAAGTTGAGAATCAAACTGTGCTGAATAGGCCTTGGTGATTGCAAAGATTTTGTCCACATTATAACATTCTGTTAGGGGCTTTTGAGTGGAATGATCTTATTATCTTTATTATCGCAATTTTAATTGCCTAATGTATGATTTTTTTTTTGTGCATGCATACCTGGTATGTAGTTTTGGATGGCTATAATTTTGAACCATTTCTTTTATATGAGAAATGTCTATGAGCCTAATTTTTAAAATGTTTAAAATGTGGGGGTGTTTAGCTAAAATTTTATTACTTGCTATAAAGAGAGAAAATAAATTTCTTGGTAGACGAGAAATACTTTTGTGAAGGGAAAAGTTATATTATTTGAAACGTATATTTGGTGAAAATTAATTTTGACGTGGATCATCGTTTTTTTATATGTTTCTAATTTTGTTGTTGTGCTTATTAGCTACCTTGAGTTAATAAATGGCTTATATAATTTTTGTTGTTTATTCATATGTTAAAATAGTGGAACACATAGTTTTCTTATACTAAAGAAACAGTGTGCTTGTGTGTGATGCTTTAAGCTACATTATTTTTTAGATTAATGTGATGAATTTTGAGGGGGAAAATGTGTATACCCTAAATAATGCATGTGAAATTGTTGGGTTAAGGGCCCAAGCCGAGGTCCGGCCCACTAACCCATTTTGCCAGACGAGCGTCCAGCTAGGAACTAGGCCAGCCCACAGGCCCACGTTCTTTAAGAATGGACGAACGTCTGGTGTTGGAGGACTCAGGCCCAGCAGCTCATTCCGACGAACGTCTATGCAGGGACAAGGAGCAGAGCCACGGGCCACCAGGGATGGCGACGAACGTCCCCAGAGCAAGCCTGTAGTCATCGAAGAAAACCCAGTGCACATGGTGAGTATCTATCAAGGCCAGGAGACGAACAGCCAATACCCCTCAAGGGTCACTTGGAGCAATCCAACTCAATTCCCGGGTGGACGGACGTCCCCACCGATCCGGCGGGAAACCTAGATTCTGGCGGGAAGTGCATTTAATGCTAAAGATTTGGTAGTTGGGACACCAGCGGTCCACAGGCTGCCACGTCAGTACAGCCACCTGCCCATTGGCGGGTATAAATAGAAGCATTTATTTCATTGAAAAGGGTTGGCAACTTTCTATTCTTAGCATACTAGCTTCAGCATTCTTTCTTGTAGCATTTCTAGCTGCCTTGTAAGACGAACGGCCGACGTGCCCTTGTAGCAAGTAGATTGTACTTAGGGGAGTTATTACGAAGTTAATAATACCTATTTACATTGCCTGCTATTACTCTTGATTCCTGATCCATCGGATAGTTGTTGGGCTAGATATTCATACACTTACTCCACTCGAAATCTTTGGGCTTACGTGTTGGGCCTGAAGGTTGAAGGAATAAACCTCAACACTGGCGCCGTCTGTGGGAAACGAACCCACGACCACGTGGTTCCTACAGCAAACACGATGTCAGGAAGCAACAACCAGCGTGATCTCTCCGAGCGTCTGGAATCAAGCCGCCGGAGTCGCGGCCAGAACTCGGAACTATCCGCAACAATATGGACCTCCGGGGGGAACGGGGGTATCACTGACCTCATTCCTCTGGAGGCCAGGCAGGATCCTCGCCTCATGCGGGAACTCGCAGACACCATGCGTCGCCTGGCAGACGAGCGGGAGGCCCGGGACCAGGTGTACTCTGCAAGTACCCAGCGAACGCCCCTCTCTCCCATACGTCGCATGCAGTCGTATGACGATACGACAGGATCCAGCGACCACCGGCCCTCAGTCCACGAGCGGCTAGGTGGGGGGTCAGGCTCCCGTGGAACGGGAGGGCGAACCAGAGTCAGCATCACTGCGTCCAGGGCTCACACACCATCAGTCCCCCGCCAAATCCCGCGGGGAGACGAGACCCCGAGGATCAACACCGTTGGACGACGTTTCCAACGGCGAGGTGCGCAGATCTTCAGGCGGCCGCACGATGCTGTGGCCGCTCAGCAGAATGCCGTCCCCGAAGCCGCGCCCCCTGTGTCCCCCGGAAGGGCCGCACAGGATGCAAGGTTGGAGGCCATGGAAAGGCAGATAGCCGAGATGAATAGGCGGGCGGACGTTGGCTCGGCCACACCCTCTTTCTCTCTCACATCTCCCTTTACTCCACGGGTGATGAGCGTCGAGATTCCCCGAGACTGCAGGCCCCCGGGCAACTTGGTGTACAATGGGGCTGGCGATCCCAAGGCCCATCTGATAAGCTACCAAGGGAACCTGTC